GGTGATACCTCGCTTTCTGTCTCTCTGTCTTTCTGGCGAGAGCACACGCCCTATAGTCAAAACCTTTTAAAAAAAAAAACACAAAAAAAAACAATTAATGAATCAGTATTAATACATTACTATAGACTAATCTCTGTACCTCACTCCCATTTACTCAGTTTTCCCTCAGGTCCTTTTTCCATTTCAGAATCCCACCCAGGATCCCATTTTACGTTTAATTCTTATGTTTCAGCTTCCATGAGTGTGGTGGCTTCTCAGACTTCCTTTGTCCCTGATGACCTTGGCAGTTTTAGGACGCACTGGCCAGGTTCATTGCAGGATGCCCCTCTGTTAGGATTTGTTTGACGTTTTTGTCATGGATTCTGGGGAGGGAGACTGGTGGGGGCAGGGGTGCCATTCTCCAGGCTCACGTGGACCTGACTCGCCTCACTGAGATGAGGTTTGCAGGCTTCTCCACCGTATAGTTCCTCTCTTGCTTTTCCCTTCCTGTACTGGACTCTTTGGAAGGAAGTCACCATGTGCCGCCGCAGTTAAGGAGTGGGGAATTGTGTTCCACCTCCTGAAAGGCAGGACACCTACGTAAGTTTGGAATCCTGCATGGGAGATTGGTCTGTTCGCTCTCGTTTGCTCAGTCCTGCATTTATATCAGCGTGGATTCACGGGTATTGATTTTGTACCTTGGGCTATAATCTCCTACTGCTTAATTTTGTTGCCAAGCAACTCTTCATCAGTGTAGCTTCTCTGTACCACTGTTCAGACCAGACTTGGGCAAGGGGCATGAACGGGGTAGAGGAGTTCTAATTATACCAAGTTATCCACCTTGTTTTCCTTTTGTAACTTAGGGCAGAAAGGAGAACTCTCAACTCCGGGGTGACAGGAAGTACGTTAACCGCCAGCCTCCCCTGCCCAGGCTCAGCCTTCACTAAGCAGCTGGGCACAGGGACTGCCCGTGGGCATGGGCTTGACACTGCTCTAAGGGGAGGCGTTAACCTCCCTTTTCCCAGAGAGAGGCTGACCCTGTGGGCCCCAGTATTAAGGGCTAAAATGAGCAAGTGCTGTAGGAAGCCCATGTTCAGTTGGTTCCTGACTGCAGTGGGTCCGTTTTAGAAGACTGATGCTCCTAGGCCAGGGTGAGAGGGGACCAGTGCCCCAGCAGGCTCCAGTTCAGGTTTCCTACCTGAGCATGCCATGTACGTCTTTCTTCTCCACCTCTCTTCCACCCCCTGCTGACTCCTCAGCTCTGCCTCCACCTTGGCTCCACGCAGAGCCCACCTGTGCCGTGTCTCCCCGCACCTAAACCACCTGTCTTTGCCACTGGCTTGCAGCGCTCTTCCTTACCTGGACAGTCTTGAGCCCTGGCCCCACTGCTCACAGTCCTGGTTTCCATGTGCTGCACTGTCCCACAGGCTCAGAGCTCCCAATGCTAGGTATCTCATCGCCTGCTGCTGTGCCCACCCGTGGAACTTCTGGTGTCCCTGGGGCCCACAGCCAACTGGTGGAGGTAAAGGCCTCCTTTCTCTGCCTCAGGAAGCTAACATTAAGTACCAGGACACTGAACACTGGTGGGCCTCGGAGACTCAGGCTTGTGTGGCAAGAAGGCAGGGCAGAGGCTGGGCCATGACTGTTGTGTGCCTCAGGGAGGAGGGGACGCCCACCACCTTGGCCCCTCTTGGCCCCACCTGGCCTCGCCAGACTCTCAACCCTGGGAACCCAGCTGTGGGTGCTCAGCCAGGCTGTTGGCGGGGCAATTAAAACCCTGAATGTGTTCCAGCAGGGTTAATCACAGCTGCACTTATAGAGGCGCCTTTCTCCAAGGCTCTCCAAGGCCTCACTGTGCATGATCTCATTTCTCCTCTGGGGTCCCCCATCCTGGAACACCACCAAGTAGCTGGGGCCAGGCAGAGTGGGTGAACAGCAGGGTAAGGGCAGTGCCAGAAACAGCCCAGGCCGCTGCCACCCACTCGGGCAGGCTGATGAGTGTTTGCTCTGGCAGAGAATAGGGACCTTCGTTCAGTGCACTGCACCTGAGGCCAGCCTGCCTGTGCCCTGGGCTCTGCAACACCACGTCAAGGCTGAGCATGTGCCAGGCCTCTCCAGTACCCTCACCTACTCACCCAGTGTGGCAGTCTGACATCTACAGTGCAGGATAGAAGCGTCACAAAGTGTCTTTGGAATCCTTCAGGAATGGACTCTGCAGGTATCATGGTGGTTAAAGGCACTGGACTCCCACATGGCCGACAGTTCAAGTCCTGGAACTGGTGGCTTGCTTTTTCACTTGCTCTCTCTCTTTCTTTGTCTCCCTCTGATCAAACTGGAAAATAATAAATAAAGTTAAATAAAGTAATTCTTTAAAAAATAAATCCTTCAGGAGCAAAGACGGGGGTGGCCAGAACTTGGGGGGTGGGGAGAGGACCACCTTGGGTTGCTGCGGTAGAGATGGCTCCCCAGAGCAGATGACCTTTGGGGTGGACTTTGAGGAACGAGAAGGGAATTCCAAGCCCAGGGAACGGCACGGAGGGCTGGGGAGCCGGGATGAGCAAGCTCTGTAACTTGAGTGATGGGATCTGAACCAGGAATTGGGGCTTACACAAGAGGGCAGGTCTCAGAGTCAGCAGATGGTTGGGGTTTTATTTTATTTATTTATTTATTTATTTATTTTTCGAGAGAGAGAGTACGAGAAAGAATAAGCACGCTGTCAATCCCCCCTGCCTCCCAACCAGCATCATGGGTGCACACACCTGCTTGCAAAGATGGGGAAACCAAGCCCGACGTTTCCTTATGGGTCCAGCTTTACTTTAGTAGTGTGTATGAGAATGAACCCTTTTAGAAAGGTCATTCTGGCAGCTGGACAGGGAGGGAGGATGTGGCCAGAGGAAGGCACCCCAGGTAAGAGGCGGAGTTGTCCAGGCTTAAGGTGTTGGGGGCATGACTTAAGATAGTCACCAGGAAGTGAGAACTGGGGCTAGAACTTTGTGTGAAGAGACCAGAGCGAGGAAGAGAAAGATGACGGAGCAGGGGCCTGCTGCAGGGCCAGGGACTGGGGAGCGCCAAGGAGCCAAGAGGAAGTCGGCCTGCTCAGCGGACAGGCCCCCGCCCAGCCACACCTGCAGCGGGCCCGGGGCCCAGCACTTCCAGTGTGCGCAGGGCAGAGTGGAGGTTAGGGAGCTGCTGAGGCAGTGCTGGCATCCTTCTGCCCTCCCCTCCTGCTCTGCGCTCACAGTGCTGGTGCGGTTTCACGGCCCCAGTCCTCCCCCTAGAGGCTCCTGGAAGCAGAGCTGCTTTCTCCGCAGGGTGACCGACTTTGAGCCTTGCTCATCTTTTTAGTCAAGTCCCTCAAGTTTCCAGGTCAATGACTTGGCCCTCTCAGGCAGACATGTGAGCTCCTTAGGAGCTGGGGATAGAAAACGAATCAAGAACCACTGAAGGCAGTTCCAGGAGTCTGTGCCATCTTGCTCAGAGTGGGCAGGCAGTCACGCCTGTCTCTGCCCTTAAGGCCACCGCAGCAAGAGCCCAAATGCACCACCTATGGAGCTGGCTCTCTGGGTCCTGGCTCTGCCCCTCTCAAGGCATGACCTGAGCCAGTTTTACCTTAATAAACCTCGAGTGCCTCATCTGGAAAACAAGCGAGACCACGCACCTCAGGGCTGCCTGGCACTATCACTGATGGTCCAGACCAATCGTGTTATTTACCTGGGCCTGCTGGGTTGTGTGGCTGCCCGGGGAAGGTGGACGTGAAAGTGATTCAGACACTGGGAACTGTGCACATGTGCAGTTCCTGCTTACTGCAGAGGCCAGGGAGAGCGCTTCACCTTCTCAGTAATTCTGTCTTGATGTCCCCTTCCCTCCTGAGCCAAAGTCTGCCTTTTCCCCTCCATGTGGGCCAACATGCCTGCTCTTCAGCCAACATCAGACAGGCTGGAGGACCCTGGGCGCCTCTTTCCCGGCCCATCTCCCTGACAGTCTGTCCCACTCACCTTGGACTTTGCTGACCCAAGATACTCACTCTGGAGCAGTGGGAAGATGCTGACCCTGGGGTTCTGGGGTGGCCTCAGCTGAGGGCCTGCTGACCAAAGGGTATCAGCAGGGGCAGGGGCCAGTCCTCGCTCTGGCTGGAGGTTGGCCCGGCACCTTCTCTGCACCAGGATGATGATCTGGGTAAACTGTGTTTACCAGGTCAGGGAAGGGCCTATTTATAGCTTCAGCTGCTCCTCAGTCTGGCTCGCTGGGGAGGGGGCAGGGCGGCTCCTCAGAGCAAGGGCGGGAGTCAGGCAGAAGGATCCTGGCTCTGCTGGGGTGCCACTGCCTAGACCCCTGGGGTCCTCCCCATGGCAAGGGAAACCTTCCCCTTCACCTCGTCCACACTGCGCTCCCTCCGCCTGCAGCGGGAGTGGCTGGAATGGGAAGACCGTCGGCGGGCAGCTGCCCAGCAATGCCGGAACCAGAGGCACCCCTCGAGTCCACGGGCCCGACTCACTAGGCCTCCCCGCTGCTGCCGAGACCCAGCTGTCCACAATGCCCTCTTCTCCGGCGACCTGCCACAGGTCCAAGCCCTGTTTCAAGATGAAGAGACCGCCAACATGATTGTGGAGACTGTGAGCAATCAGCTGGCCTGGTCGGCTGAACAGGGTAGGAAGCACCAAGTGAGGGCAGAACGAGGAGGCCAGCCCGGGGGGGAGATGGGACCCATCCACTCCCTACAAGCCGTAGACTAGACCCTCTTTCCCACCTCCCCGCCCAGCTCCCTCCTAAACAAAGAGGAGGCATAGTTAGTGGTTTGTATGTCTTTTCAGAGTTAAGTTACAGACTTTTAACATATTGTATATATTTTATTGGGAAATGATAATTGTATATATAATTACATAGTAACACAGTTACACTCCAGCATAATTTTTTCCTCTGCTTGTATAATCCATACATATGCACATTTTTTCTTTCATAAAATGAAAGTAGATTCCACATGCAATTTTATAATGTGATTTTTTTGGAGAGATTTTTGCTATAGAGTACATATGCTCACCAGAGAGACAGACAGACAGAAAGTGAGAAATGACTCTCCCCGGGGATGGCCATGCCGCTATCCCTTCTCCATTCTCTCCGGATTTGGGGCACATACGCACATGTGCTGGCATGAGGTTTAAACTGCCTGGTCTGGGACTTGAACTGCAGTCGACTATGGGGGAGTCTAACAACATAACCATTACACCATCTGCTGGTCCTGCAATTTTTAAAAAAGAATTATTTATTTAATTTTATTCGTCATTCTTATTATTTTCCAATTTTGCTATGTGCATTCACCAGAGAGAGACTGAGACAGAGGGAAAGCCAGAAAGCAAGCTACTAGGTCCAGGACTCGAACTGCAGTTGGCCATGTGATAGTCCAGCACTTCAACCACCATAGCACCTGCTGACCTTGTATGATGTGATTTTTATTTTTTTAATTTATTTTTTAGAGGTTTTTGCTAGAGGGCATGTGTGCTCCCCAGAAAGACAGAGAGAGACAGAGAGACAGAAAGCAAGAAATCACCCCCCAGAGGGGATGACCACACCGCAATCCTTCTCCTCCATTCTGCTCTCGGGATCTTGGGCACGCACGCACACATACCTGGCATGAGTTTAAGCCACTGAGTCCAGGACTCGAACCACAGTTGACTACATGGGAGTCCAGTGATATATCAGTTATGCCAACTGCTGGTCCCAGTATATGATTTTTATCTTGTAACATTTTTCCATGTCAACAGCATAATTTACAAAATGTTTTAAATAGGTGCATAAATTCTACTGTATGAGTATATGCTGTGGTTTATATAACTAGCCCCCAAATAGACTGGGGAGACTGAATTCCTTTTTTAAAAATACTACTTTAAATAACTTTTTGGGACCAGCAGGTGGCATGGTAGTTAAGGTGTTAGACACTCCCACATGGCCAACCACGGTTCGAGTCCTGGACCTGGCGGCTTCCTTTATCCCTTTCTCTCTCTCTCTCTCTGTGTGTCTCTCTCTGGTCAAATTAAAATAAATGAATGAATAAATAAAATTAAATAAATAATAATTTATTAAAAGATTAAAAAAAATAACTTTTTAATGAATATCTTTATGTATTTGCCAGATGATTTTTTAAAAATTTCGTTTATTATTATTTAATTTGCTGTATGTGCATTCACCAGAGAGAAATAGAAAGTGAGAAAGTAAGCTACCATGTCTGGCACTCGAACCACAGTTGGCCATGTGGGAGTCCAGCACCTTAACCACCGTGCCACCTGCTGGCCCGCCAGATAATTTCTTTAGGATATGTTTTAGAGGGTTTGTCCATATAGAGCAAATACCTCAACTGAGATTGCCTCAAACACCACCCATGGATTTGGAGCTTCAACATCCCTGGGAGCACTTACACTCTCCAGGTGTCATCAGGCTCCAAATTCCTGCTTGGCTGCATCAGTTAGAGATGGGGCTCCACCCAGGGCATCCTGATCTTGTCCTGCAGCATGTCCAGCATCCCTGAGATGAAATTTGGTCTTAACTGCAACCCTAATAAAAATAAAATGTGTTTATCCAAAAATTAGAAAAACCAGGGATCGGGCCAGCAGGTGGTGTGATGGTTAAAGTGTCTAGATCCACATGGCAAACTGCATGGTTCTAATCCCAGATCCAGCAGCTTGAAAACATGGTGGGCAGGCTTGGCAGGTGGACATAATACAAAAATTAAAATAAGGGACCAGCAGGTGACATGGTGGTTAGGGCACCAGACTCCCACATGGCCAACTATGGTTTGAGTCCCAGACCTGGTGGCTTGCTTTCTCTTTCTCTCTCTCTCTCTCTCTCTCTCTGGTCAAATTAAAAAATAATAAGAGTAAATAAAATAAAATTAAATAATTCTCTTTTTAAAAAAAGAATTATTTTATTTAACTTTATTTACTGATTTTAATTTTTATCAGAGGACAGAGGAGGGGGTGAGAAAGCAAGCCACCAGGTCTGGGACTTGAACCACAGTCAGCCATGTGGGAATCCAGCACCCTTAACCACCACGCCACCTGCTGGCCCCAAATGAAATCATTCTTTAAAAAAACAAAAGGAAAAAATCCTGGGGCCAGCAGGTGGCATGGTGGTTAAGGGCGCTGGACTACCACATAGCCAACTGTGGTTTGAGTCCTGAACCTGGTGGTTTGTTCTCTCACTTTCTCTGTCTCTCTCTCTCACTCTGTCCCTTTCTAGTTAATTGAAATTAATTAATTAATTAATTAATGTAAAATAAAATAATTTTAAAAAGAATTATTTAACTTTATTTATTCATTCATTTATTTTTTATTTGACCAGAGAGAGACACACAGAGAGCGAGAGAAGGTGAGAAAGCAAGCCACTGGGTCCAGGACTCGAACCGTGGTTCGCCATGTGGGATTGTCCAGCACCTTAATCACCATGCCATCTGCTGGTCCAAATAAAATAATTCTTAAAAAAAAAAAAAAACAAAACTATTTTTCTTTCTATCTCTTCCTCCATCTCCTCCTCCCCCCTCCCTTTATTCCTCTCTCATATTAAAAATTATTTAAATAACTAAAAAAGTATTTTTATTATTGACTAATAATGATTTATTTTTATTTGTTATTATTACTTTTTAATTTGACCAGAGAGAGAGAAAGAGAAAGTGAGAAAGCAAGCCACCAGGTCTGGGATTTGAAACATGATCCGCTCTGTGGGAGTCCAATGCCTTAACCACCACACTACCTGCTGGCCCCCAAATAAACAATTATTAAGAAAGAAAGAAAGAAAGAAAGAAAGAAAGAAAGAAAGAAAGAAAGAAAGAAGGAAAGAGAAAGAAAGAAAGAAGGAAGGAAGGAAGGAAGGAAGGAAGGAAGGAAGGAGAAAACATGCTGGGAGCTTATGTGTACATGCCCAAAGTTCTCAGAAGAAAATGGAGGAGAAAAGATTGCAGCATGCCATTCCCCCTGAGTGGTGATTTCTCACTTTCCCTCTGTTTCTTTCTAGAGAGCACATGCGCCTTATAGCAAACTAAAAACAAAACAAAAAGTAGGTTTCCTTTTGCCAGCATGCAGACAACTTCACAGCTCCATGTTGGGCATACACGTCCTTTAAACAGTCCTCGGCCATGTCCATTGGTCAAATCCATTTCCCACCACATGACCAGCCCCTCTTCTTACTCTTCCTTTCCCTGTCTACCTCTTTTCTCTCCCTTCGTCTTTCCTACTACTTCTACTCAACCCTCCTTGCCCCAGGAATGTCCTAGAATTCAGATTTGTCCTTTGTTCACTTCCAAATTCAGCTCCAGGCCCACCTGTGCATAACTCCACTCCCCGCCCCCCACCCCCACCCCCAACGCCAGAAGTGAGCACGAAAAGCTATTGGGTCCACTCCTAGACTCTGAGTTTTCCTAACATGGCTCATCCTCTGTAGTTGGCCCTTGTGGCTTTATAAAACAATTCATTTTTTTCAATGACACATACTATGTTTTGTTATAGAGTGACAGTTTTTTGTTTGTTTTTTTTTTAAGAATTATTTTATTGAACTTTCTTTAATTTGACCAGAGAGGGACAGAGTGAGAGAGAGAGAGAGGGAAAGTGAGAAATCAAACTGCCAGGTCCAGGATTCAAACCATGGCCGGCCATATGGGAGTTCAGCACCCATAACCACCATGCCGCCTGCCGGCCCCGTGACAGACAGTTCTAAAAGCTGTTCTAATTTACCTTCCCAGTTCAGGTCTTGAGTGAGCCCCTTTCCACAGGTACAGCCTGGCACCATATTTGTGCTCAGCGAACCATGCAGAGGGAAGGCAAGTGTCAGTGATCAGCCATAGGCCAGCATCCTCATTCCCTGTCCCCTTCCACTGCCTGCTCTCCTCAGGGTTCTGGGTGCTGACCCCCAAGACCAAGCAGACGGCACCGCTCACCATCGCTGCGGCTCGAGGCTACATAGACTGTGCCCGTCACCTCATCCTGCAGGGGGCTGAACTGGATGCCCGGGTAGGGGGCCAGGCTGCCTTGCATGAGGCCTGTGCCCGGGCCCAGCCCGACTGTGTGCGTCTGCTGCTGACCTTTGGTGCCAAAGCTAATGTGCTATCTCAGGAGGGCATGACCCCATTGCACCTCTGCACTGCCCCCGAGTCCCTGCAGTAGGTACCTGGGGTTGGGAATGGTTTGGGGAGGAGTGTGTGAGTGTGCATGTGTGTCTCCAGCTTCCAAAGCCAGGAGAACAGAGACCTTGACATCCCTGTGCAGCTTCATAGTTTCCAAAGCACTTCACATACCTGTTTTCACAACCTGGGATCAAGCCTCATTCTACAGGATGAGAAAAATGAGGCTCAGGGGCCAATAGGTGGCGTGGTAGTTGGGGTGCTGGACTCCCACATGGCCGATCACAGTTCGAGTCCTGGACTTGGTAGTTTGCTTTCTCTTTGTCTCTCTCTGGTCAAACTGAATAATAATAGTAGTAAGTAAATAATTATTTTATTCAAAAATGAGGCTAAGAAAAGTTTAGTGACTTATCCACGGTCACATCTGCTAAGGCTAGGAGGCAGAAGTCCTATTGCTTTTTTGGAAAACCCTGTTCCAACCCTAGTGCCACATTCCTAATTAATTTGTTGCTATTTGTTTGTTTGTTTTTTAATCTTGCTATGGGGTGGGGCCAGCCGGTGGCATGGTGGTTAAGGTGCTGGACACTCCCGTATGGCCAACCGAGGTTTGAGTACTAGCCCTGGTGGCTTGCTTCCTTACTCTCCCTGTCTCTCGTCCTGTGTCTCCCTCTGGTCAAATCAAATGAATGAATAAATGAAAGTTAAATTAAAAAAAAAATCTTGCTATAGGGCATGTGTGCAAGCCACAGAAAGAGAGGAAAAGTGAGAAAGCACCCCCCCTCAGGGGGATGGTCATACTGCAATCCTATCTCTACTCTTGGGATTTCAGGCTCACACATACACCTGTTGTGTGTTTCAAGTCACTAGGTCCAGGACTCGAACTGCCCAGTTAGCCATGTGGGATTCATCTGCCTTAACCACCGTGCTACTGACTGGACCCCTAGTTGTTTTTTTTTCCTTTTTTTGAGAGGTTTTGCTATAGGTGTGTGCGCTCGCCAGACAGAGAGAGACAGAAAGACAGAAAGTGAGAAATCACCCCCCCAGAGGGGATGGCCACGCCACAATCCCTTCTCCTCCATTCTCCTCTCGGGATCTTGGGCACGCACGCACACGTGCCCAGCATGAGTTTAAGCCACCGGGTTCGGGACTCGAACCACAGTTGACTACGTGGGAGTCCAGTGACATAGCCATTACGCTAACTGCTGGTCCCTGGACCCCTAGTTGTTTTGAGGTAGGCATCAAGAAAGAACTATCCCTGCTAGCCCGTAGCCAGTGGTTAAGGGAAGCCAGATCCCACATGGCCAACCCTGGTTGTAAACCCAGTCCAGGTAACTTGGAAAGCACTCCAATAGGAGAGAGAAATGGAGAAGGGACTGTGGTGTGACCACACCCCACTAGAGGGTGCTTTGTCTGTTTCTCTCTCTCTCTCTCTGGCAAGTACATGTATCCTCTGGCAGTTAAAAAAAGAAAAAGGAAAGAAAGCTTGCTCTAGCCCTGTGTTTCCCAACCTGAGTGTAAGGTTCCCACCATTCCTCCCCTTCCCTCTTTTATTTTTTCAATTTTGCCAGAGGGTGCATGCTCTTGCCGGAGAGAGACAAGAGAGAAAACACTCCTCCAAGGACAAATCACACCACAGTCCCTTTTACTCCATCTCTCTGTACTGTAGGGATTCGTGCATGCATGCACACACGCAACATGTTTCTCAAACTGCAGGGTCCGAGACTCTAACTGTGGGTTGGCTATGTGGGATCCAGCTGCCTTAATCAGGCTAGGAGCCAGCTCCCTCCCTCCTTCTCTCCTTTTTAAGGCCAGCTGTTTCTTGGGCTCCTTGCATGATGGTATTTGCACTTTTATCTTTAGAGAGAGAAAGAGATTTTTTGCTATAGGGCACATGCACTTGCCAGAGACAGAGAGACAGAAAGCAAGAAATCATCCCCCAGCGGGGCTGGACATGCCACAATCCCTTCTCGTTCATTCTCTTCTTGGGATCTTGGGCACGCATGTACGTTCACCCAGTGTGAGTTTCTTAAGCTGCCAGGTCCAGGACTTGAACTGCAGTTAACTACGTGGGGGTCCAGAGATGTAACCATTATGCCATCTGCTAGTCCCCCCCCCACCCTTTGTAAGAGATTTTTGTTGTAGGGCATGTGTGGTGAATGGAGAGACAGAAAGTGAGAAATCATCCCCCAGGGGGTGGCTACACTGCAGTCCCTTCTCCTCCATTCTCTTCTCAGGACTTTGGGCACATGCACATGTGCCTGGTGTAAATTTCAAGCCACTAAGTGATTTGAACTGCAGTCGAACAGGTGGTATAGTGGTTAAGGTGTTGGACTTCTATGTAGTTAAACAGGTTCAAGTCCTAAACTTGGAAACTGACCTCAGAGGGGGATTCATTTGTTAAAATGACAGTGGTGGCTTGAAACTCAGTGCCAGGCACATGTGTGTGCATGCCTAAAATCTGGAGAGGAGAATGGAGAAGAAGAGATCACAGTGTGGTTACCTCTCATGGGGGGGTGATTTCTTACATTCTGTCTCTCTGTCTTTCCAGTGAGTGCATGTACCCTATAGCAAAAATCTCAAAAAAAAAAAAAAAGAGAGAGAGTCAGTCCAGCACCTTAACCACTATGTCACCTGCTGGCCTGGGGTTTGAACTTTTACAAATCAAGACAACAGACAGGGCCGACAGTAAGGAGTCAAGTGTTCTGGAAGACGGTCCGCAGCCCATATGTTAGGGACCGCTCTCCAGTAGAGCCACATCAGTACCAGACCCAGGATGGTCCAAGTTCGCCAGCCCTTCCTGGGCTCTTACGGACATGTGGTGTGCCTTTCACCATACTTCATTCTTTTAAGCAAGATGAGAATGGCCACTTACCAGAACCTTACCGAGGAAGTTTTTAAGCATTACTTAAACTGAATATTTGGAAACAAAAATTAGTCCATGATTAGGACTTACTGAGGAAACGAACTCAGTCACTTTTGGAAGACTGGCTGCCACTCAACTCTTAGCCACTAAGCAGAGCACCTACCAGATGCATGAGCTGGAATTCTGATCTTTTTGTTGTTATTGCTGCTTAGTTTTTATTTCATGATCATAAACTTTTTTGAGGGGAGGGGGAAGTTTTTGCTATAGGGTGCGTACACTCACCAGAAAGAGAAAGACAGAAAGTGAGAAATCACCCCCCCCCAGGGGGGATGGCCACTCCACAATCCCTGCTCCTTCATTCTCCTCTCGGAATCTTGGGCATGCACGCACACACGCCCAGCGTGAGTTTAAGCCACCGGGTATGGGACTCGAACCGCGGTGAACTACATGGGAGTCCAGCGACATAGCCATTACGCCAACTGTTGGGCCCCATGATCATAAACTTAACTTTGCAATTTGGCTAGATTTGGAGGGGAATAAGGAAAATACAGAACACAAAGAACTGCAGCAAGAGCACAGGTTACAGGACATAGAGAGCAGATGGGGCAGAGGGTCTTGCTGGTCTTGCCATTCATGGGCCCAAAGCACTCCATGGCTTCCACAATATTCATGCCCTCTTTCACCCTGTCGAAGACCACATGCTTGCCAGCCAACCACAGTCAGTCTTGGCAGTGCAGATGAACAACTGAGAACCGTTTGTGTTGAGTCCAGTGTTTGCCATGGATAAGATGCCAGGACTTGTATGTTTCAGGATGAAGTTCTCATCCTCAAATTTCTCACCAGATGGCCCTACCGCCAGGACTATTATGGCATGTGAAGTCACCACCCTGGCACGTAAACCCTGGAACAATTCTGTGAAAGCAGGAACCCCATAACCAAATCCTTTCTCTCCAGTGCTCAAAGCACAAAAGTTTTCTGCTGTCTTTGGAACTCTGTCTACAAACAGCTTGAAGGAGACCTGGCCCAAGGGCTCGCATTGACAGTGATGTTGAAGAACACGGTGGGGTTGACCATGGTTGAGGGTGAGATTTGGGTGAGAGACTTGGGTGTCTGCAAAGCTGCCTCTTTTTTTGACCATCACATAATGAATTTCTTTGTGTTCTAAAATAATTAAATATCAACATGCACCTTTCCACTGAGGGACTTCACGGGTCATGACCAATGTAGAACTCGGACAGGAAATCCTTTGGCCTTGGTGCTTCTGTTTCGTGGAAGAACCTCATAACGTGTGTCCGCTGCTTCCACACTTTAATCGTTTCCTCCAGTTCCATCTTTCCCTTAATGACCAGAAGACCTACCACTCTGGGGTCTGTGACATGGGCATTCTTCATAAACATTTCTCAAACTTTATCCCGTCCAAGTTTCACAGTGATGTCTAGCTGGAATAAGTGCACCGTGTGCGGCACCTCCCGATACCAGGTGCGGTAGAGCTCACGCACCCTCCGTTTGGCCTTGTTCATGTCCCGACTGAAAATGGGCTTCAAAGCTGTGGGGGCCACGGCCGCAGCCCGGCGGATGCCGCTCGCCGCCATCTTGCTGAAGAAACTCGCTGCCTTTTTTTTTTGAGAGAGATTTTTGGTATAGGGCAAGTGCGCTCACCAGAGAGACAGAGAGAAAGTGAGAAATCACCCCCCCAGGGGGGATGACCATTGCCACATTCCCTTCTTCTCTGCTCTTCTCCTGGGATTCTGGGCATGCTTGCACCCGGCATAAGTTTCAAGACACTGGTCTGAAACTCAAACAGCAGTCAGCCATGTGAGAGTTCAGCGCCTTAACCACTCCGTCACCTGCTGGTCTCAGAATTTTGGTCATTTTGAGAACAGATACTTAGTCATCAGGGTTTCATGGGGGTGATGGATCTGTTCCTGAGTTTCTGACGGCTGCCATTCTGGCTTTTTAATTATAAATTACTGTTAGTTTCGTTTCATCATTATTAATTCACTTTATTGCATGTTTGGTTTACCCCACAGCAGGTAACGATGCATATTTGTCGAAACAATGTTCTGACCTATAATTTTTCCAGGAACCAGGAGACTGTGAAACATGTTCTCTCTGAAGTCTGTTTGCTTTTTCCTTTGGTTTTGTTTGTTTTCTCTAGGAGAAAATGAAGGAGGGAGGTCCCTGAGGGTTTTTCTTTTCTTGAATGAGTAGCTTGCTCTAGAGGAGTGGACTTAAGTTTGGAGAAGGACTAAAACACTAGAACTTCTATTTATTTTTCTTTTCGGTTCATACTTTGTTGTTGTTGTTGTTATAGGGCATGTGCGCTGGCCACAGAGAGAGAGAGGGAGAGAGAGAGAGAGAGAGAGAGCGAGAGAGAGAGAAGAGAGAAACCACCCCCTCCCCCCAGGACGGATGGCCATACCACAATTCCTTCTCCTCTCTGGATTTTGGGCAACCATGCGCACATACATGCCTAGCATAATTTTCTTTTCTTTCTTTCTTTTTTTTTTTTTTTTTAGAATTATTTTATTTTTAGGGGACCAGTGGGTGGCGTGGTGGTTAAGGCGCTGGACAATCCCACATGGCCAACCAGGGTTCGAGTCCTGAATCTGGTGGCTTGCTTTCTCACTTCCTCTCTCTCTCACTCTCACCCTCTGTCTCTCTCAGGTCAAACTAAAAAAATAAATGAATGAATAAATAAAATAAGTATTTTTTAAAAAGAATTATTTTATTTTAATTCATTGTCATTATTATTTTGAAGTTGACCAGAGAGAGAGAGAAGGAAAGTGAGAAAGCAAGCTGCCAGGTCCAGGACTCAAACTAGTCAGCCATGTGGAAGTCCAGCCACCCTCACCGCCACACCACCTGCCCGCCCATGCCTAGCACGATTTTCAAACCACCAGTTTGGGACTCAAACTGCAGAGTTGGCCATGTGGGATCCGTCTGCTTTAACCTCCACACTGCTGGCCCTCTGCTTATACTCTTCATTTTCTATTTTGTAGTGTACATAGGTGCGCTATGAAAATGTTAGAGCACTGACAAATGATTCAGAACTAGGCCTTGGGGTTTCATTCCACTGGGGAGTCAGGGGAGTCTCTGGGAGAAACCACCCCAGGGGGGATGACCATGCCAGTACCCTACACACTGCCTGCGGCAGGCCGTACAAATTCTGGTGGAGCCACTAACTTGCTGTGTGCCCTTTGCTGTATAAGACCTCTCTGGGCTGAGGTTTTTCATTCGAAAGTTGGAGATGCTCCTGGTGGCCTGGATGGGCCTGGTGACAGCTGTCTGTCACCCAGCTGCTGCGGTTCTCGCGCGGACACTAGGCCGGACCCCGAAATAAGAGGGCTGGGGAGGAGGAAGGGGCAGCAGGCTGAGGGGTTCCCAGGCCCTCAGGATTTGTCCCGGCATTATGCTCTGTTCCCAGGTGTGCCAAGTTGCTGTTAGAGGCGGGAGCTACCGTGAACCTGGCAGCACAGGAGAGCGAGGTGACGCCCCTGCACGTGGCGGCCGCGCGGGGCCTGGAGGAGCACGTGCAGACGACACCCAGGAACAGAGGCCAGTGTCTCGGAGCCCACCTGAGAAAACCCGCCCCTTGGCTCTCCTTCCTGCCAACGGCTGCGGGGGCCTGGCTGAGCTGCTGCTGCGTCATGGGGCCTGCGCTGGAGTCCCCAACGGGGCCGGCCACACACCCATGGACTGCGCGCTGCAGGCCGTGCAGGATGCCCCCAACTGGGAGCCAGAGGTTCTCTTCTCGGCGCTGCTGGACTATGGGGCTCAGCCCGTGCGCCCTGAGGTGCGCGGTAGGACCTGAGTGAGGAGGCGCCAAGTGGATGGGGGAGCCTGTGGCTGGAACTGCCCTGCCATTGGGGAAGTCAGGGGTCCAGGAGACTGAAAGTCCATCCTCAGTGGCCCGGGGTCTTTCCCCATTGGGAAGGGAGAGAAGTGGTTATGTGGGAAGGTGTCCAAGAGAGGAAGGAACTCCCAAGAAAACCAGGGTCAAGAGGTTGGAGCATACTTGTAGATGGGGGCAGACTGAGGCAGGGAAAGGAGGTGGCCAGACACCCCCACCCCCCAGTTAGGCCGCGAGTGGGATTTGGTTAGGCTAGACTTGGGTCTGCCCTTGGTTGGGGGTGGCATGGTAGCCCTGAGACCCCCTTATGATTCCTAGCTGCTGAAATACTGTGCCAACTTCCCACGGGCCTTGGAAGTTCTGCTGAATGCCTACCCTTGTGTCCCATCCTGCGATACCTGGGTGGACTCAGTGCTCCCAGAGCTGTGGCAGGTATGTCCATGGGGTGGGGGCGGGGAGGATGTGCTACAGGCCTGTCTGCCCTGGGCTGGCTTCATGGAGGGGGGAGCAGGAGTGCACCTGGGTTTTAGGGTCCCCTCTCCAGCAGCTCAGGCCACAGGGCACTGTGCCCACATCTCGGGTGGGAGTGAATGCCAACATGGCTGCCACCTTGCCCAAAGGTATAGTAGTGTTACCACTGCAGGGCTTCTCTGGTTCTGAATCTGAGTCCAAGTGAGTAGATGTTGTAAAATCCAGCCCCCAGTACTGGGTTGCCCCATATACAAGGGCAGAGTCAAGGGGATTTTCTCACCTGACCCTCTTTCACCCCTGGCCTAGGAGCATGAAGCCTTCTACAGCTCAGCCTTGTGTATGGTGAACCAGCCGAGGCGGCTGCAGCACCTGGCCCGGCTGGCTGTGCGTTCCCAGTTGGGTAGTCGCTGTCGGCAGGCTGCCACCCGGCTCCCACTGCCCCCGCTCCTGAGGGACTATCTGCTGCTGCGTGTGGAGGGACGCATCCAGTGACATCTGTGCCAGCTCCTCCCACGCCTGTCCTGCCCCTCTGCCTGCACCCTGGGCTAGAGGACCAGGCGCTGACTCTCTTCTCTGTACTCTGCATGCCCTAGCAGTCCAGCTTAGCCCTCGTTGGCTTCTTTTTTCTTTTATTCTCTATTCATGATAGAGTACTGTGTGTACACATAAGCATGAGAGAAAGAAAGAGGGGCGGGGTCTGCCCACAGTCCAATTTCCTTTCTCTAGCCCATCAGATCTTGGGCACTCATTCACGTGCCCAGCTTGTCTCAGGCCAACTGGGCTGAGGATTTGAACCACAGTCGCCAGGTGGGATCTGGCTTCTCTTGAGCAATGCATTACCACTGTGCCATGGAGCCAGCCAGCCACCTGCCGACCTTCAGCCCAACCTGAGCTCAACCCCTCTCTCTCCAATAAGAGTCTGCAGACCCGGGCTGACCCCACACTCAACCTCTGCCCTCCTCTTCCTCCTGTGCTTAAGCAAATGGTCCCTCTGTCTACCCAGGCTCCAAACCAGGAGCTGGTGACTTTTGTCACTTCCCTCCCTTGCCAGCCATTTACCTGTGCAGCCTACTAAAGAATGACAAGGGCTGCCTCTAACTTCCTTTGTCAGTTCAATGGAGGTCTTGAAGTCCATATGCCGAAGGGAGGTGGGAACATCTTTGGGAGTTACAACTGTGATCATTCCCTTCAGTGGCTCGCTCTGTCTTCAGGCTAAAGTTAACAGTCAGCAATGGATAGCCTTGAGATACTGGCCTTCTTTGGCCTCCTGTCCTGCCTTCTTTCCAGGGTTCCTGTAATCCAGTCTTAGTAGACAAACTACCAGTTGCTGGATGTAACCTGGTCTTTGCTTGGAGGAGTTTGCATGCGTTGTTCCCACTGCTTGCTATACCCTTCCACAGTTTTTGACCTAGTGCTGGCTGACTGATACCTCCAGACTCCATTCAAATGGCATGATCTCTGCAGAGCCTCCCTTCAGCCCAGCAGGCAGCCTGGCTGGATGTTATCCTTAGGGTATATTCCTCCACCCCCCCGAGTGATGCATGGTGTCTTGAACAGTGGTCTTTCAGGGCCCGTGACAGGAGGACCAACCACCATCTGTCCCCCTCTCACTTCTTCCTTGGGTCCCAGAGTCTAAAGTACCATAAATTATCTTTAGGAGGAAACTTTTTAAGGCAGTCAGTTTTTAATGGAAATAAACGATTTGTGCATGGAACAACTGTGTGGATGTTGTTAGGTTTCGGGGAGTCTTTTGGTCTTTTTGTAGACAGGGGCTCATTGTGTCGCCATTTTCCTGCCTCATCCTTCTGAGGAGCTAGGCCTACAGGCACACACTACCACACCTGGCTTTCAGGAGGGCCAGGAGTTGAACTCAGGCCTCCCCTGTGGCCTTAGCCTGCCAAGTAGTGTCGTCAACCAGCATGTGCTCCGGCCACTGGGCCATGTCATGTAGTTAGGGTGAAATGTGACTGAGGTGGCCATTACTCTCTGTTCATCGATCTCCTTTCAGTTCCGTGGTTTCCAAGTTTTCTGCCCTGAACAACTATTCGTGATGGGTAAAAGGCTATGAGAACAATATAAGGTCCCTCACAGAACACAGCCTGGAGTAGCCCCTGCAGGAGGGACCTGGGGAGGGGCTGCCTGCAGCCTGCTCTCCTGACCTTTTACCGCGGGGTCTTTGGCTCTCCACTCCACTACCACTTAGAGTCACACAGCAGAGACAGTCAGGAGTCCTGGGTCTGCCTCCTGCATCTGTTGCCATCCTCCCTCCTCTGTGGAGACACCCTCTCACAACACAAACACAGTCTTCTACCTTGTTATGCAGAGCAGCAACCTCCCCTTTCTGGGTGAAATGTTTGCTTTCACTTCACAGAGCCAAAAGGCCTTAGAGAGGAAAAGGAAATCCTCCCTAGTCCTGGGCCCAGGCTGGGAGCCTCACTTTCAGTGGAAAGTGCTGCACGTTCCACCTCTTCACAGTAGGCCTACCCCAGCCAGGTTGGCCTTTTCTGTTCAGTTTACAACTACTGTAAGATATCTGCTGTGGGGCCATACTGTAGCCTAATGGTTAAGGAAGCTGGATCCCACATGGTGACCATGCTGTTCAAATCCTAGACTTAGTGGTTCAAAGAACACAACAGGTGCATGTGTGCAAGCCCCATATCCCCCCGGGATGGAGAAATGAAGGCATTACAGTGAGACCATGCCCCATTGGGAGGTGTTTTCTCCCTCTCTAGGTCTCTCTGGTGAGTGCACACACCGTCTGACAATTTAAAAAGAAATACTTGGGGGCCAGCAGGTGGTGTGGTGGTTAATGGTGCTGGACTCCCACAGGGCAGACCATTGTTCAAGTCCTAGACCTGGCAGCTTGCTTTCACACTTTCTCTCTCTCTGTGTCCCTCTCTGGTTAAATTGAAATAAATAAATAGGGACCAGCAGTTAGCGTAATGGCTATGTCACTGGACTCCCACGTAGTCAACAGTGGTTCGAGTCCCGGACTCGGTGGCTTAAACTCACGCCGGGCGCGTGTGCGTGCGTGCCCAAGATCCCAAGAGGAGAATGGAGGAGAAGGGATTGCAGCATGGCCATCATCCCCGGGGGGGTGATTTCTCGCTTTCTGTCTCTCTGTCTGTCTCTGTCTGTCTGGCGAGTGCACGCACCCTATAGCAAAAACCTCTCCAAAAAAAAAAATATATAAATGAATGAATGAATAAAGTTAGATAAAAATAATTCTTTAAAAAAAAGAGAGAGAGAGAAATACTTGTTTTTAATAGACATACAGGGCCAGTCAGGTGGAATGGTGATTAAGGCAGGTTGGATCCCAAATGTCCAACTGCATAGTTCAAGTCTCAGACCTGGTGGCTTGAGAAATATCCCCGTGTGGGGGCTGGCAGGGGGGATGGTGATTAAGGGCACTGGACTCCCATGTGGCGGATTGAAGTTCAAGTCCCAGACCTGGAAGCTTGCTTTTTTACTTTCCCTCTCTCTCTTTCTCACTCTGTCCTTCTCTGGTCAAATTAAAATAAATAAATAAGTTAAATAAAATAATTATTAAAAAAGAAAGAAAAACATCCCAGTGTGTGCGTGCATACCCAAAATCTCAAGAGGAGAGTGAAGGAGAAGGGATTGCAGTGTGGTCGTCCCCCCTGGGGAGTCCTTTCTCATTTTTCTCTCTGTCTCTCTCCAGCAAGCACATGTACCCTATGCCAAATCTTATTTTTTTTAAAGTGTATTTGATTATGTTTATTATTTAGGGATAGGAGAAGATTTTCTAGCAAAATAGCATAAAAGAAAGAAGTAACAGGTCAGGATACAGAAAAAGGTTTAGTTGGTTATTTGAACAACAAATCATAAGCATAAATAAACAAAATATTAGAGAAATAATCTGTAGCTAAAAGATTTCCTTTTTTTCCCCCTTCTTTTGGAGAGATTTTTACTATAGGGCACATGCACTTATCAGAAAGATAGACAGAAAGCGAGAAATCACTCCCCGGGGATGGCCACAAAGCAATCCCTTCTCCTCCATTCTCCTCTCAGGATCTTGGGTGCAAACGCACACACGCCTGGCGTGAGTTTAAGCCACCGGGTCTGGGACTTGAACCGCAGTCGACTACATGAGAGTCCAGCAACATAGCCATTACACCAATTGCTGGTCCCCAAGATTTCATTTCTTTGCTCTTTGAATGCAGAAATGGCATCTGCTTATTTGCCGTTATTTTCTCAGGGCCTGGCAGAGAGCAGACGCTCAGTTATCCATCACAGCAATGACTGATGCTCATCTGTACCAGCAATCAGGGAAATGAAAATAAGACAGCAGGGGTAGGCACACTGGTAGAAACAAGCCACAATATGGCTGGGCCCCACGTGTGCAGGGTCTGGGGGGGGGGTAGGCACACGGGAAGAAACAAGCCACAATATGGCTGGCCCCTACGTGTGCAGGTTCTGGGTTTGCAGCTCTGGAGGCCTCAGTATGCCAGATATACACAAGCCCAGGATTTGGGGGTGGCTGAAGCTCAGGGTGGATCGCAATGTCAAGACTTCAGTGAGGGGGTCAGCAGGTGGCATGGTGGTTAAAGGCGCTGGATTTCCATATGGCTGATTGCAGTTCGAATCCTGGACATGGCAGGTTGTTTTCTCGCTTTCCCTTTCTCTCTCTCTCTGGTTAAGTTAAAATAAAAAAACGAAAACAACAACAACAGCAAAACAGATGAAATTAAATAAATCTCTGGGTTTTTTTTCCATAAAAATTTCCTCTTTAATCAAGGCTTTGAACAGATTTCTTGAATAAAATGAAAAGTTTCCAATACATTGAAATATAAACCTACAAGTCACCATACATAAGACACTCAGCAGGAAAACAAAACAAAACAAATTTACACAGTCCCTGAAATAGGCATCGTCTTAGTCTCAGATGCTTCCTCCAGCCGTCAAACACATTCTCCTGGGATCACACTTGGCGGCCCATAGAGCACTCCTTTGGGCTGCTGTGCTTTTGGCTCTACTCAAGAGGTAAAGCAATGACCAGCACATTCGAACGGTGTACTGAATATCCTTTAATTATCAAAGTGAGAAGGAAGGCGACATAATCAGGTTATTAGGAAGATGTTAGAAAGTAAGGGCAGCTGTGTGGAGCTGGACCCTGAAAAGTGGCTTGTCAGCTTCATTTCTTCGTCTTCTTGGGTAGTGGCCTCCGGAACAGCAAGATGTGAGGTTCCGGTTCATGGATCATATAACGGACCCATCCCTGACTCTGCTGAATGCCAAGATTCCTCCATTCAGATTCAGACATCAAATGGGTTTTAGGAAGCACCTTGGGGGAACCAGCAGTTAGCGTAATGGCTATGTCGCTGGACTCCCACGTAGTCGACCGCGGTTCGTGTCCCGGACCCGGTGGCTTAAAACTCACGCCGGGCGCGTGTGCGTGCGTGCCCAAGATCCCGAGAGGAGAATGGAGGAGAAGGGATTGCGGCGTGACCATCCCCCCTGGGGGGTGATTTCTCGCTTTCTGTCTCTATGTCTCTCTCTGTCTGTCTGGCGAGCGCACGCGCCCTACAGTGAAAATCTCTCAAAAAAAGGAAGCAGCTTGGCTATGGCCTTGGGAACATGACATCTCGGTGCTAGAATTCCTCAGTGTTAGAATTCCTCATCGTATTTGTCCGACTAGTAAATTTGTGCGACATGATGGCTCTGCTTACAGGCCTCCAGCCCGGCTCCTCCAACCCATAAATAATTATTTTCTTTTTCTTTTTTTTTTTCTTTTGAGAGGCTTTTGCTACAAGATGTGTGCACTCGCCAGAAAGACAGAGAGAGACAGAGAGACAGAAAGTGAGAAATCGCCCCCCAGTGGGGGATGGACATGCCACAATCCCTTCCCCTCCATTCTCCTCTCAGGATCTTGGGCATGCATGCACACGTGCCCGGCGTGAGTTTAAGCCACCAGGTCCAGGACTCGAACCGTGGTTGACTACATGGGAGTCCAGTGACATAGCCATTATACCAACTGCTGGTTCCCCCATAATAATTCTTAAACAAACAAACAAAACAAAACAAAAAAACTTCACTGGGGATGCTGTCTCTCTCTGCCTTATGGAAAAAATAAACTTGAGAAAAACGAATAATACAACATAGCAGGAAAGACCTAGGGGAGGGCTCAGTGATCAGTACGTGCCTTGGAAAGATCTTCAAGAAGGAAATAAGGGACCAGCAGGTGGTGTAAATAAATAATTTATTTATTAAAATAAATAAAATTAAATGAATTATTCTTTTTTTTTTTTTTTTTTTTTAAAGAAGGAGATACACCCAGGTTGGAACACATTATGTACATGAAATGAAACAAAACTCCATGATTGTAGGTGAACAATCAGAGGAGAGGGCAGAGGGCTATGCCAGTGGGGGCCTTTTACAGTAGGTATCTAATTTTTTACAAGGGGGTCCCCAGAGATTCTTTTGAGGTTTAAGAACAATGCCGGGTGCGTGAATGTGCAAAATCTTGAGAGGAGAAATGAAGAAGGGATTACGGCATGACCATTCTCCAGAGTAGACACTTTCTCACTTTTCTTCTCTCTCTCTCTCTTTCTCTCCCTTTCTGTCTCTGTCTCTCTCTGGTGAGTACACATGCTCTCTGGCAAAATTAGAAAAAAAAAAAAAAAAAGTGGGACCAGCAGATGGCATAATGGTTACATCACTGGACTCCCACACAGTCGACTGCGG